AAAACCAGAAAATCAGACTTTAATTTGTTAGAAGCATGCAAAGAAACAAATTATGGGTAAGGAATTGGAAGAGAGATAGGCATACCCAGACGAAGTTTTTTTTTTGAGAATCAAAATGGAGAAAGGGCTCTCTGTTGAGTAATGACGTTGCTTCGAGTCCAGTAGAGTTGAACGGTTAGTTAGTTATAATAGAAGCTGTGCCGCCTCAAAGGAGCGCGGGAAAGATTTTCTTCTTCCACGGCTTTAGTTCTTATAACCTGCCCGGAAATGAAATTTCTTTTAACTATAAAGTGATGCTGTAATTTTTTTTTAAATGTAGTTTTACTTTTAGCCGATCGTGTCATATTATTTCCTTTATTTTCTTGGTTATGAATTCACGTTATTATAATACATTTCTTGTGATCAATTTTTGAGTAACTTGATAGTAAGCAGAGATAAAAATTCACCACAAGGATTCAAAAACATTCTCTCTTATGCTAAGGTGATTCAACAATGTATATTTATGTACGTAGAAATTTTTTTTACCTTTACATATAGTATAATTTTTTGGCAAGCAGGATTCAGTTAAACTTTCTCCGATAAATATGATTATGTCAAGCTTGATAGTATAAAATATCTTTGCATCACTTGCCTAAAATACTTAAAACCATCTATAATAAGAGTATGTTGATAACTTAAAAGAGAGAGTAAGTAAAAAATTATTACCAATTTAACCACATTGATAATATTAAAATTTCTTTCTTGATATATGTAACTTTTATAAAATTTTGTTAGGGAGCGTTTCCTCATTAAATGGACCTTACGCGGCACGAATCTGGATATAATCGAGTTCTAATACAGACCAGACATCGGGTGGAAAACCAAAAAAACGTTTATCCATTTCTCATGCTCTTCCATTATCCTTCCCACCCATCCCTCCTTTTTACCCTTCCCTCTTTGGAGAAAACATTGCTAAAGGAGTAAAATTTATGATACTATCAAATTCGGACTTACTATGGTTTCACTCGATAGGATTTAAGATCGTTTGTGCATTAATTTGGAACAATCTTGTGACTCTAATTAATGTGTAGCAATATTCAAGTATTTATGGAAGAAACACAATTGCATTCTTTTAACAATGTTGTAACAACAAATTTTCGCGTCAAGAAAATAAATAATTAAGACTGAAAAATTGCGTAACAAATGTAGTATTTGATTTCAATAAATGAAAGTGTTACAATCTCTATGGTATTCCTCTGATTCTTCAAGAATGTAAAGTACCTTAATGAGCTTGACTTTGATTTGATTTAAGCGCTTGTAAAAGCTTGATCTTGAATCTCCTCCTTGAACTTGAATTTGGGTTTGATCATGAACAAGTAATTTGATCTTGAACGCGTTGGTATTTGATTTGGCTTCGTTCTTGATCTTGAACTTGTAACTTGAGTGCTTCAGTGCTTGAACTAGTAGCTTGTAGAGAAATCTGCGGTGTTTGATCCACGAGCTCTCTGCTTGCATCTTGTTATCACTTCTGGTGTCTTCTAGCTTTATGAAGACTTCTATTTATAGTTGTAGGGAATGGTGTGGCTCTGCAATTTGATTGGTCCGTTTGAACAGACCAATACCATCCAGACACTTGGCACAAATCTATTGGTTGTTGATTTGATTTGGTATGCCACCCCTTTCCTAACACGTGACATGATTTCATTGGCTCATTTATTTATCTTGGATTGTCATATCATTTGACATGTGTCTTGATTTTATTGGCTCGTTTTTTGACTTGGATTGTCACATCACTCGACACGTGGCATGAGGCTGGGCCTTAAGATGGGCTAATGGTCATTTGAACCTTGGGCCAATAAAATGGGCTTATCATTTAATATGTAGTCCAATTAAATGGACTAGCCCAAAACACATGTATTGGATTAAGATAATTAGTCCAATTTATTAGTCACAATATTTGTTTGGACTAATGTCTTGAATTTAATATGGTCCAAATTATTTTATGGATTTAAATCCGACAAAATTTAAATGCTTACAAATGCATTTCTACAATCACTTTAAGTTGGATGCCGCTTGAGATATAAGATGAAATAAGTATGGTATAAATATTGATATTACTTTACTCAATGTTTATATTTTAAATCCTGCATAGCTAATATAAAATTTAATACACTAATTAATATATTATTTATTACTAATATAGCATGAATAACAATATTTGGATTAAACACTAAAATATAAAATTATCCTTTATATTTTCCTCAAACCCATCATCAATGCTCTTTATATTTTATTAAGTTTAAAATTAAACATATATATTAAACTTTTTATCCTATATATCTCATTTTTAATTAAAAAACCAAACGCATAATAAAACATAATTTGTGTATTACATCCCGGTGTTAATGATCCATGCACTATTAATCATTGTATTACCACCACTACATAATCTGTTTATTAATCAAATGACCCCCTAATTTTGCTACTTTGTTGAAGTCGGAAATAACTTAAATATGATAAAAAGAAATACAAAAAAAAAATAGCGAAAAAGAATAAGTTTGAAAATTGGACATTCATATAGAGATAGGATTTTTTATTTATTTACTTGGATTAAAAAGGGTATTTTACCCAAGATCTATACTTATATAATAATGGTTCTAAACTTCTATAAACACTATAATTATGGTCTTCGATAAGAAATTGTCCCTCTTAAATCTCCTAAAAATGTAAATAAATTAATTATTAGTTCATGTAGTAGTTTGAATAACAAGTACTATGTTTTTCCAGGTCTTCTATGTATTACCTCATTTCAAAATGATTCTCACAATTCTACAAGTATTAATTTTTTTTCTCAAATTGTGGTCGCTATTCCGTTATTTTTATCACATAAACAACTTGTTCCAACAGTCTAGAGGAAAATTTATTAAACATGGAGTTTAATAAAATTTTGAAAATTGTTCAAGTTATTACTACTATTAATAAGCCACAATCGAGAGGAGCTTCCGGATCATGTGAATTTACAAAAAAACCATAGAGATTTAACTTTATCCCAAGAATTGACAAAATAACCAAGTCAATAGTAATCAGGCGTGGACGACTTTGCAAGAAAACGGAGCCCCACTTCAATTTTTCTTCCGCACATCAATTTGTAGGCTCTTAAACACTATCACTTCTTTTAGTAAAAATAGCACGGTATAGCCAGTTTTCGGATTGGTCATTTAAAAATAGCCAGCGTTTACGAAGTCAATAAAAAATAGCCACTATTTTGCTACAACAGAGACCGGTCCAGCATAATATACTGGAGTTCGGTGCACCTGTATATGAACTCCAGCATATTATGTTAGACCGGTATACTTTGCTGACTCCAGTATATTATACTGGAGTCTGGAGCACCGGTGCTCCAAACTCCAGTATATTATACTGGAGTCTGGAGCACCGGTGCTCCAAACTCCAATATATTATACTGGACAATTATACTTGCTGGAACTCCAGTATATTATGTTGGAGTTCTAGTGTACTTATGCTGGAACTCCATCATATTATGCTGGAGTTCCAACATACTTATCGTGGAACTCCAGTATAATATGCTGGAGTTCAAGCATACTTATGCTGGAGTTCAAGCATACTTATGCTGGAACTCCAGTATAATATACTGGCGTATTTTTCAGGTTTTGAACAGTATTTTCGCTCAGATTTATCTTTACATAAAAAGTGGCTAAATTTCGATTACTTTTGAAACTGGGCTATTTTGAACGACCACTTATAAATCTGGCTATTTTTTAATTTCTCCCCTTCTTTTAACATAGAAAAAGAAAACCTGGGCCCACTGAATATGTGGATCTCTTTGCTGAGATGAATATGACAACTTTTCAAATGCCAACTCTTGGAGTATAATTTTATTTTTATCTCTTATTTAGCTCTTTACTAATTCTAATTATCTTTATAAAAATTTAGTACATTTAGCAAACCTCTGCGAAATTTAAATGCCAGCAAAAGCCATTTTACATGATAATGTTAGGAGATAGAATAGAGATTAGAGTGAGGTAGGCTACATATTCATTTTGGAATCTTTTCATATGTTGGGTTTTTTTTATGTAAAGATGGGATGATGTTGGGACTTCCTAAAAGAAATAGCGCTGTGGAAATACATAAAGGGCTATAATCTATACTATATTAAAAGCACGAAGGCCCTTAGCGAAATGTCGTTCGTCTTTTTTACCCTTTAAAAATAGATTTTATATTGGACAAAATTATAATTTAAGTTATTTTCCTAATATTTAGAGCTTTAAACCAACTAAAACTTGGTTATTGTAAATCTTTCCTTGTTTGCAATACTTATTAAGTCCTAATTTAAGTCTTTAAATCGATATGAAAGTCCTAATATTTGCTTTACATAAATTCAGTTTTATGTGCGTAACTGTGACGACCCAAAGGGTCATCACCGTAATTCTTCCTAGTTCTGTACTTCCGAGGCCCTGAAAACCTCGGTTTTAGTTGTCTCGATTTGCGTGCGCAGTTCGGGCGCGTAGCCGAAAAGTTTTTATGTTAGAATATGCGAATTTTGTGAAAAATTTGATGAATTTT